AGTGGTGGTGTATACCTTTAATTCCAGCACTCAAGAGGCAGCGGCAGGTGGATCTAGTTCAAGACCAGCCTGGTTTACAGAGTGAGTTCCAGGACAGTCAGGGTTACACAGAGAAACCCTGTCTTGAAAAACAAAACACAAACAAAAAGTACAGAATGTCACTTCACTGGGCATAGTCTCTCATTTCTTATTTTCTTTGTTGCTATATCCTTCAAACACAAATCAGTATTTGCTACTTAGAAAATAATCATAAATAATTGTTAATGAGTGTGCAAAGAGGAAATACTACATTAGCTGGGGTGGGAATGTCTGGAGAGATGGCTCAGTAGTTAAAAGTACTTGCTGCTCTTGCGGAGGACTCGGGTTCCTAGCACCCATATTGGTGGCTCACAACTCTCTGCAACTCCACACAGGGGTCTGGTGCCCTTTTCTCACCTCCGTGGACATCAGGCACACATGCATGCAGGGAAAACATAAAAACAAATACATCTTTAAAAAAATTATCCTTGGGGCTGAAGACTTGGTTCAGTGGTTAAGAACACTGGCTGCTCTTGCAGAAGACCCAGTTTCAGTTCCCAGTGCCCATGCTGGTTGACTCATAGCCATCTGTAACTCAGTTCCAGGGCATCTGGTACTCTTTTTGGGCCTCCATGGGTATTGCATTCACATATGTTCATCCAGGCACACACAAGTACACATTAAATAAACAAAGAATAAACATAAAAATCTTAAAAGAGTCCTTTAAGAGAATCTTGCTAGCATCATTATGTTCTAGCTGCTATGATTATATAAAATCATATCCTGGGCAAAGACAGTTCATATTGTGGTGGGAATGATAGCTTCATAATTAGTTCCAGGTCTCCACTTTTTTTTTTTGTTTGAGACAGTCTTTCTATGTAGACCAGACTGGTCGCAAACTCACGGGAATCTGCCTGCTTCTGCTTTCCAAGTGCTGAGATAAAAGGCATGGGCCACCGCACCCTGGCCCACCTTTCTTTCTTTTTTCCTTCTCTCCCCTTCTCTCTCCTTCCCTTCTGTTCCCTTCCCTCTCTATTTTAAAACAGATAGTCTGTGATGCCCAGGCTAGCTATGGAGCCCAAGGTAGACTCAAGCTCACATTAATCATCTGCCCCTCCTGGCTGCTGTGATTATAGGCATGTGCCACCATACCTGGATTTAAATAAAGAAAAGAGCAAACAAGAATTGTTTTGTTGATCTTTTGCTTATTTCTTTTGATTTCTGTTTTTGTAGGGCTCTTTTTGTGGGTTTTTTTTTGTGTGTGTGTGTTTAGAGAGAGAGAAACAAAGTTGGGTGGGTAGGGAGGTGTGGAGGATCTGTGGGAACAATTGGGAGTGGAGAAAAACATGATCAAAATATGCTGAATGAAATATTTTTAATTAAAAAGAATTGACTGTCTGGGAAAGACAGAAGATCAAGCACCTAAGAAAGGGCAATAACGACTTTATCCCTTTGGGATGGGAGAGGTGTAAGACTAGGAGTATGTTAATGGGATGCTGGCTTGGGTCTGTCTAGGGCCCTTGGTCCTTCCCTTTCTCCTATTGGCCCTGTCTTTGCTCTCCCTGCCTACCTGAGTTCTCTAACTCCTCTTCAAATCAAGGGCATTTACAATTTCGATCTCTTCCCAGAGTTCTGTAAGGCTTGCAAGGTGGTCACTAGAGATTCTGAGATACTTAGATGTTTCTCAAACCTGACCAAGCAGCCTGGAGCTCTTGTCAAATTGCAAACAGACCCAGTACTTGGGGAAGAGGCTGAGACTAAATTTCTTTCATGCTCCCGGGGATACCAAAGCCTCTGTTTCCTTGACAGGGCTTTGAGGAGGGAGCGACCTCTCGGGCAAGCGCTGGACCACTGGGCAGCCTTCTTAATGTCTGAATTTTGTGCACCTGTCATGTGAATTTCGCGGGTGGATGTTTCTAATTATAGACAATATCAAAAACACAAAGAATGTCTCCTACAAGTCCAGATTGATGACTAAGGAGTTTATTAGCTGTAAGTTAACAGGGACATTGCATTCACTACAAAAAGCCGACACTCTGCCTGTTAGCCACTATTTCACATAGCTCTAAGGCTGCTGAATAACCAATGAAACCTGGGCATAGAGTGCCCCCTAGTGTCAGAACATTAGAAATACGTACAAGGCTGAGAAGCTGCCCAAATTAAACTTAGAAATCCGTTCTCATATGCACTGAGTCCCTTCCTGGCTGAGAAAATGTTACTAATCAGTAGCCGTGCCTCCCTGGGCAAGTCATTCAAGCTGCTCTTGGGTGTTCTGGTACTCACTCTGTAGACCAGGCTGGCCCTGAACTCACAAAAACCGTCTTGAGCCGTCTTGCTGACCCTGAAAGAATCTTTTTAATGTTTTGAAAGTCCAACTGTCTGCACAGTAGAGAAATTAGTATTATGACCGTTCTTGTGTCCCTCCCAAAGGTAGTTAGGGTCATCCTTAGTTCTTGTTTGACCTTGACCTCTGGTGATAAGCAAGACCCAGCTTCATCATCCAGTAAGCACATTAGTGTTTATCTTAAAAAGATATGGGTTTAAAAACTACGGTCCTGTGACCACAAGTGACAAGAAGCCCTGAGAGTGAAGTCCAGCTGCCACCAAGCTTGCAGCCTGTGTGACATCAAAGGCCTGTCTGGATCTTGACCAGGGACGTGGTGAGACAGTGAATGTCCAGGCTGTAGCCGCAAAACTACACAACTCCTCTGCTTTTCCTGTTTGGCTTTGGCCCTGTTTTTAACAATGGAGGTAGCAACACATATTAGAGTGCATGAAGCAATTCAGTTTGGTTAATTTATGTGCATATGTGTGTGGTTTATTTGTGTGTTCATATCTCTCTGTGCATGTGAGCTTATGGGTGTGTGCAGTGGATGTTCTTGTGTGTGTGCAAGCATGCACACATGTATATGTTGAAGCCAGAGGTCAATGTTGGGAGTCTTCCTCAATTGCTCTCCATCTTAGTTCTTTTGTGTTGTGTTCAAGAAAGTTTGAGTTTTATTGATGATGCCTCAAAGTGGAATTAACCTAGTTATCCATCAACAGGTAAATCAACTAAAATGATAGAATAAAACAAAATGTTTACAAAAGTATTAAAAACAATAAAATGAAAACGCAAGATATTACAGATAAGTCTATAATATATTTTATTCAGTAGAAGGAGTCAAATACAAAGAAACACGCATACTGTATAATTCCATTTGTGCGAAGGTTAAGATCAGGCAAGGCTAGTAGTGTTTAAAGAAATAAGTAAGATCCAGCTTTTAAAAGATTTCCTCCCTGCCTGGGAGGAGCTGACTTCATCACAGGAATAAAGCCAGGAGTGAGTTCCCATGCCTCACTCCCTCTGGTTTTTTAAGTACAGCCTCAACAATTGGAGCTAAGAGCCCCCCCCCCCCCGAGCAGCAGCGAGAGCGCCCTCTCAAGGTCCCGGGATGAAGTACCATCCTTTCGTCAGTGATCAGTCAGTGATCAGAAACTTAAGCTGACGATGGTGCTGAGGGGCAGTGAAGCCTTGGACATGATGAGGGTTAGAAGGGCATCAGAGCGAGGCCCCGTAAATGAATTCTAGTGACTTTATCAGAAAATGAGCAAATCAGGCATACATGCATGACCTTTTTTCTTTTGCCGTGTAATGCTGTGTGCCACCTTTAGACTCTGCTGGAAGGCCACCGCCAATGCGACCTTTCTATCTAATCTCCAGAACTGTGAAATAAATAGATCTCTCTCTTTTATTTTTAAGGTTTTACAGCCTTGGGTATTTGATAATAGGTTGCTGCAGCATCTCTCTGTAAAGACAGAACTCTCTGGGGTAGGCATGCTATGACTCTCCAGTAGAAACTACTGAAGAGATACTGACATGCTCTGCCATTGTTCGGGCTGAGTTTTCTCTCATCTTTTTATCCAGAATCTTTGCTCATTGTCCTGAAACAGAAACACCCATTCTCTGGTGGTATTTTGAGGTCTTTTATTCATATCTGTCTCAGCATAAACTTCATTGAGGTTAGTGTAAATTCTGAATCCTCAATCTAGATAGGAGGACGTTAGAAGGGAATCAGGGGAGATGACTCCATGGGATCCTGGGAAAGGCCCAAAGCTATTGATGTAATGCAGATCTACGTAGGTCAGAAAATGGGCGTTCAAACCAGATGGGCGGGAGCCTGGACAAAGCTGGTAAGGCTTTCGTGTGCTTGGTTGGGGCCAGCACAGTTTGAATCCATCAGTATTTGTTAAAGGTTACACCTGATTAATGCCAGAGTTTGGCAAGCAAGCGTTAGTTATGCGTGCTATGGAACTTGTTAGAGTTACCCTTTATGCGCACACTCATTGCACTTGAGAGAAAGTACTATGCGCCAAGTTCAAGCTTCCTAGGCTTCTGTTACCCTTCCATTTGCCCATCTTACTTTTCAAGCCAGGTCTCTCCCTGAACCCGGACCTCACAGACTCAGCTGCGTTGGCTGACCAAGCAGGCCCCAGGGTCTTCCTGTCTTTGCCTCTCCAGTGCTGGGATTACACGGACACACGCCACTGTGCCCAGCTTCTGACATGCGTGCTGAGCATCCAGACTCAGGTCCTTACCCACTGAACCCTCCCCCCTGCCTCCATGAATACAGTTACCCATGTGCTCATCATTAGCCTGGAACTGCCCCTGGCTGTAAGAAGTTACCTCCTGCCTGCTCTTTGGATCCTTACCCAAACCTGGTTAATCACAGGCAGCCCTCAGAAGACCCCAAGCTTAAAAAGCAAAAGCCACCACGTTGAGACCAACTCAAAATCTAAACCACACTGTTTATTTTTCTCCAGAGTATGGGCAAACGAGCCATATGTCAGGGCCTATGAACACTGGGCTGAAGATGTTTTATTCCTGTGGGGACCCAGCCCTGTCCCCATGGTAACTCTCAGGGACACCCTTGCTTTTCAGGCAGGGGTGGGGCATGGATACAGGAGGGCTAGTGAGGGGACTTTCCCGTGCACCTGTTGATGGTGACCTCCGTGCAAGAGTCAGTCAATCTCCTCTGCAACCTCCTGTCCTAGTATCCAGGAAGGGCCAGAGTCCTATTAAAAATAAGAAAAAGGAGGTTCTGGGAGGGAGGGGGCAATACCTGGCTTAGACCCAAGGACCCCGGGGAGTCCAGGGGTGTTGGGTTGGCCTTGTGATTATGTAGTTTAGTACTTAAATTTCCAGATGGGAAAACTAAAACCCAAGGATGTAACAGCAGATGACAAAGGACAGAACTGGTCTTGGGAGCCTGGAGCCTGGAAGTCAGGTTCACTGCCTTGCTCTGTGGTCAGACCAGAGCCTCGGAAATGCCAGTCTCTTCTGGAATATTCTGAGTTCTCAGTGCTTAATGACCTTCTTGAAGGCAAACCTGTGAAACCTCTGTGATGTCAAGATTTTCCACGATGAGCCGATGAGCTGAGGACAGCGCAGAGGAACCCAGGGGACATCTATGTCAGGCGACAGGGCTGGGTAACCTGGACATCAGTCTTTTGTCTCTTTTAGAAAGAAACTACAGGATGACATGGAAAACTGGTGGAACACATCACTCGGTGACACAGTGTATATGACTTGGAGAGCCTGGTTGTGGAAAGGCTGCCTCAGAACGAATAAAGTGAGGGTGGAGGAACGCTGGGTAGCGTGGGAAGCCTGGACTCCGTCCTGCAGACGCGTAGCTGCGATCTCCTACTCCGATGACTCCTTGGGCATATATGCCACATTGTCATAGGCGGGGGGTGGAGAGACGGCTGGGCTGGGGATGGTGAAGTCCGTGCCGAAGGCGTTGGGTAGGAAAATCACAGACTGCAAAGAAACAGAAAACCCCAAGTCTGGGTGGCTCTGCGGTCTTCGATAAGCGCTGCAACAGTGCCACCCGCTGGGCACTCTGCGAACAGCGCCTTAGTACCGAACGCTCACACACAAAAAGCATCGTTTAATTAACATTTCAGAAAACATTTTATAGGGTCAATTATGATCCAGGGCTTGGACACACCGCAGGGAGAAAAGTAGACAAACCTCATTTCTCTAGGGGCTAGTGAGCTGATGCTTCCTCTCTGGACAGCCCCTCTGAGTTCGGGCCTCTATAGCTCTTGCCCGAACCACAGCGCTGGTCCCTGGCTGCTTCTACACCGGTAGCCCTTCACTGTGCCCCTTGAATCCAGCTCATTCCCCCTGCCCCAACCTTAAAAGGCGTCCACTAGAACCTGGCTGCATTTTTTCCGCCCAAAGAAGCCTTTGTGTTATCAGTACCCCTTTTCCCACCTTCTTTTTTATCTCCTTCCCTCCTCCCTCCTTTTCTTTTCCTCCGGAAAAATGAGTAACTTCCACCGAGTCATGCTGTTTTTTCTGCTGTGCCCACCTGTTCACAGTCTGTGGACCGTCTGTGCAAGGTGGCCCCTCACCCGCCCTAACCCTGTCCTCCAATTCCGAGGGATCTCAGTTCTGCCGCTAGTGCTGGCGCCCTCCTGTGGCCACAGGGTGAATAGTCCCATTTTACAATCTGGGGCCCTTGTGTTTTATGGGAAGCTCATCACAGCTTAGCCCCAAAGGGAAAGTGGGAGGGGGCTGGAGGTGCAGCCTCTTCCTAGACTACAGGCATTCCTCAGGGCCCTGGACATGGTGTGAGAGTACTCACTGCGTTAGTTTGGGCACGGGTCGCTTGGCACCCAAAGTGGGTGGCGATGACAGCGATGAAGAACTCCAGGATGGTGAAGATGGTCAACACAGCAAGGTAGCCCCTGCCCACATCCTGGGGATCCAAACCCACAGTCAAGTCAAACCGAGAGTTTAAAAGTAAAGGTACCCCCCGGACCAAAAATAACGCCCAGGCAAGAGGCAGAGGTAGCCCTGGGTCCAGGCTTCCTGACTCCAGCCCTGCCCGCTCCTTCCTTTCTCCCAGGACTCATCTCTCTTCTCCCCACACCCGATCTTGGGGTAGGGCTATGGTGTCAGTACACTCAAGAGGTCTATCGGAGCAGCAGGCTCTGCAAAATGCCCAGGATTGCGGACAACTGGGTCTTCCCTAGTTCTGGAGGCAGCCCTTATCTTTCTGGGTTTAGTGCCCTCAGGGACATCCGCCAACACACCCAGTTAGTGACCCCGAAGTCCATGAGAAGAATGGCTGTCCCAGCGAAGGCCGCCATGGCACTGAGGATGTTGGTTCCCAGACTGCTCCTCACCTGTGGGAGGAAGAGGGGCACCAAGAAGAGACAAAGAGGAGAAAGGACCGGAGCCCCAGCTCACTGCCCAGCCTCCTGCACCCTCCTTTTCATGGCCCGGGGTTGGGGTCATGAGCCCTGCACGGCTGGATTTTTCTCTCTCACTCTTCTTCTTCTTCTCCATCCCTAGGACTCCAGGAAGAGGCCCTCATGCCTCCCTTTGCTTCTTCCATGCTCTTGGGAGCTGCTGGGGAGGAGGCCTGGCCCTCTTCAAGGCTTTCCTGGGCCAGGCTTGCAGCAGATGCCTGCCCCCTCCCCCCAAAGCTGTACTTCACTTCCCCCAGGCGCAGGCCCACACTCTGAGACATCTTGGAGGCTGTTATGGGGGACCCTTCCTGCATTGGCTTCCTCTGAATGTCTGTGAGGATTTCATCTGTAGACCTTGGGTGGCGTTCTGCAAGGGTCCCATCTCTTCCTTCTGTATTTGGATGTCTGAATTCCTTCCGTGGACACTTAGAAAACCCCCAAGAAAGGCTTGTTGAATGGACCAAATGAGTGGGCAGATGGGGGTGAGGGTCTTGAGGTGAGTGGCCCCATCCCCACCCTGATTCTCTGTCTCCAGTCAGACTTACCAGGCAACTGGTGTGGTTTTTCTCAGCTGCTACCGAGAGGGACCCAGAGATGATGAACTGTGTGGGGAAGAGAGAGGGCCCAGTGAGGTTTTGGCTGGGACACCGAGAGGGCAAATCATGCCCAAGTTCTGTCAGGAAGATACAGGCGTAGGCAGAGAACCATAGGCTTTCTTGTCTGCATCCTGACCAGGCATCTTGGGTATATTTCTAAGGATGCCTTAGTGGTTCTGTAAGAGGCTTTTGTCCTCTGGCATGGTGGCATATACCTTTAATCCCAGCACGTGGGAGGCAGAGGCAAGCAAATCTCTGTGAGTTTGAGGCCAGCCTGGTATACATAATGAGTTCTAGGACAGCTAGGGCTACAAATAGAGATTCTGTCTTAAAAAAACAACAACAAAAGAAGCCTCTGTTTTGAGACATAAAGTCATAGTTTACAAGGTATGTTGATGTGGGATTCCTCTCTGTATGCTGTGAATATGTTTTACTACCATTGGTTAATAAAGAAGCTGCTTTGGCCTATGGCAGGGTAGAATATAGCTAGGCAGGAAACCCAAACAGATATAGAGAGAAAGAAGGTGGAGTCAGAGAGATGCCTGCAGACACTGGGGAAGCAAGATGTGAGGTAACAAGCCACTAGCCTCGTGGTAAAATATAGACTAATAGAAATGGGTTAAGTCATAGGAGCTAGTTAATAATAAGCCTGAGCTAATAGGCCAAACAGTTTGTAATTAATATTAAGTCTCAGAGTGATTGCTAGGGAACTGGTGGGCAGGAGAGAATCCCTAGTTACAATATGTATTTTCATTGACATCATATTACTAACGCCTCATAGGATATGCACCTTTAAATAGTCACTCAGTCAAATATTTACCGAGTAGCAGTTGGGTGTCAAAAATGTAACAGAGCTCGCTAAAATGGAAAAGATCTTCCTGTCATGGAGCTTATATTCATTTAAGCAGCAGCCCCACACATGAGGCCATGTGTGTGCATGCATGCATTTGTGTGTGTGTGTGTGTGTATGTGCACGCACAGACATGCATGTGCATGTGTGTGTGTACTCACACCTGTCGTCCAAGGTCAGGGTGTCATTCCTCCTCAGGAGCTGCCTGCTTTGTCTCTTGAGAGAGGCTCTCTTACCTGGACTTGGTGGAGCTGACCAGGGAGGCCCAGGGAGGGCTGCCTAATCCCATCTCTCCAGTATGGGACTGTAAGCCCAGGCGGGCTTTTGACAAGGGTGATGGAGACACAAGGCAAGCCCTCATTCTTGCCAGGCAAATGCTTTACTCTCCCCAGCCCTGTGAAGTGCTAAGATAGAGACTGGATACTGAGCTGCACATGCCCTGCCCAGCCTGGTGATCCTGCTGTCTCCTGAGCCTCACTTCTCCCCACTACCGTGTGCATATGACACATTTTGTGACAGTTTGGAGCAGGATCGGGAGCTCAGAGAAAAATGCAGAATGCTACCTTTGTTTCCTCCTGAGGCAGGGCCTCCTTAGACATCTGCTTGCCAACATTTTCCTTCAACTTGGGCCCACTATGGACCATAAGAGCTGGGACTAAAGGTTTGTTCCCAACCATTTAGCTCTAGCTGTGGAGTTTTAACAATGCTGGCCTCTCTGAATTCTGCTTTTAGGGGCTTCTGAGCTCTTGCCGAGATAGCCTGGGATACTCAGAAGGGACTGCACTATCATACACAGGGAGCTTCAGTGTAGACCCCATTAAGTTGACCCCAAAGCCTGTGCTTCCTGGACACAGCTGGAGGGCTCCCTGGCACCAGAGCACTGGCGCTTTCGGTAGAGCCACGCACAGCAATGCCACCTTGCAAACTTCTCTTCGGCACCTAGGAGCAGACAAGGAAGCCTGGTTTGGTTCTCCACTGGGGTATGGCCAGAGGAATGGACCCAGCACAGAGAGACTCCCTGGAGATCAGCCCAGGCAAGGCTGGAACCCACAGAGGGAACTGAGGGGTTGCTGCAGGCGTGGTGGAGTTGTGGGGTTAGGGTTCAGGAAGCCCAGGTATAGATTGGGCTCCTCACAGAATCCGTTCGCCTGTTTGCTGGGAGTGGATCAGGCCGAGGTTTATGATGAAGGTTAGGGGTGAGTGATAACTATTATGCCCAGGTTAGTCTGGGAGGCAAGTTAGACCCTGACCTAGGATGGGCTAAGGCTAGGAAAATGTTGGGAGTGGAGCAGGAAGAGGTAGAGCCGGGCAGGAACACGCCCCAGCACAGAATGGCAACTCGGGCACTCACGCAAGCTCCTCCCCAGAAGGGGACACCACCTTCGATGAAAAGCATCCCCAGGTGCCCTCGGCGGACCATGAGCAGGACGCTGCCGAAGCCAAGATGGATGAGGCCAATCAGGATCTGCACCGTCTGTGGAAGGCATCGAGGGCTCAGACCACTGACCTCCGGCCATGAGCTCCACAGCGCCCCCTGCCGAGGAGAGCAACCGATTCCCGCAGATCTGGCTTCCCACAGCGGCAAGGGAATCCTTTTCATTCCCTTAGGCTGAGGTCAGAGCATTAAATCGAGGTAGAACCAACTTTCCTCAGCCCACTAGGAGCTCCAGACTTGTGTGTAATTTGTGAGTGGGGCTGTAGTTGTCAAGGACAGCTCTGAGTTGCTTGTCTGATTCTCTTAGCCCTGGTTCCTTGACTCTCAACACTCGGGTAACCAAATGCCTAGCTTGCCTTCTCCCTGTGTGTAGTCTTTTCCTAGTCCATCCTGGCAGTGGGAGTCACAGCTATTTCACTGGCAGCAATCTCCACTTCATTTTCTCTGTTTCCCTCCCTCCCTCCCTCCCTCCCTCCCTCCCTCCCTCCCTCCCTTCCTGCTCCCCTTAACCCCCTCTCTTTCTTCTATTTACCAGTGACCCATGGAAACGTTCCCAGTGGTGGGATGGTTTTCCTAAGGGTGGGGACTCTCTGGGGAGTGTGGCCTTATGGAAAATTCTGATGTATTGCTTTTCAAACATTTCTGGTGACCAGACCTGAGCAGAGAGAGATAGGGAAGATCTCTGAGTCCAACCTATGCCCAGGCCTGGCACCGCTTCCAGCTCGGGGGTCCCACAGGGCCTCCAGTGGTAAGCAAGGGTTCGATGTCACCAAAGGCAGTAGTCTATAACAGCATCTCTGTGAGCAGCGACAGTCACAGTCTTGGAGTCTTGGGGACTGTATATCACTTTCTAACGTGAGTGCCAAGAATTGGGATATTTATAGACACAAACTTCTGTATTCTGTTGCTTTCTCTCCTCCATTACCTACCCTCCATCTCTCCAGTTTCCCTGGGCAGAGGGGTGTGTGTGCGTTTGTGTGTGTGCATTTGTGTGTGTGTCCCACTGCCAACAACCCCATCTTCTTTGCCACTGGAATAACTCCCGTGAAATGCCAGCTGCCACTCTCTGCAAACCTGTTGCACAGCACAGCACAGCACAGCCCTGCAAGCACAGCACTGCACAGCACAGCACAGCACAGCACAGCACTGCACAATATCTTGGTTTAGAATGTTTTTTTTTCTTTTTCTTCTTTTCTTTTTTTCTTTCTTTTTTTAATTTTTGAGACAGGTTTTTCTTTTTGTGTGTGTGTGTGTAGCCTTGACTGTCTTGGAACTGGCTCTGTAGACCAGGCTGGCCTTGAACTCACAGAGATCTGCCTGCCTCTGCCTCCCGAGTGTTGGTATTAAAGGTGTGCGCCACCACTGCTGGCCAGTATCTTATTTTCATTTGCCATCCCGGTCACCATAGGTACCACTAAGCCTGACACAGCTTTTAGGATGGGGTTCTGCATTCCAGCAGGTTTGAGTTAGAGGTCCTGGCCTGACAGACAGTGGGACTGAAAGTAGAACTCTATGGTCAGGCTGTCCCAGGTCATGGGATGCCACCTGCCGGCTCTCTGGCCTTGGGCAAAAGACTTGTATTGACTGTTACAGAATCAGCCTAGGTGTTCCTCATTAGAAGAATGGAAATAAAAATAGATCGTGTGTGTGTGAATTTTATTCAGCCATGAAAAAGAACAAAGTCAGGACATTGTCTGGAAATCAGACAGAACCAGGAATGATAATACTAAGAAAAATAAATCAGACATTTTTAAATGTCTGACTTTCTTTCTTTATGGACCATGGAATTCTTTATAGGTGTATAAAGAGGGACGGGGGAAGAAAAAGACTGGCATGGGTGGGAGCCTAAGAAGAAGGGACTGGGAGCAGATGAATGTAGTCTCAATGCAGAATGTACCTGAAATAATTGTCTTTATGAAGCCTAGCACTGTGTCTAACACATACACACTAGTGAACATCCGCCTACGGCTTGGGAAGCAGGGCATGCCAATATTCATGCTTCCAAATTCCATGTTTCATTAGTATGACATCCAAATCAGTGTCGTAAATAAATCTTAAGGATAAAAAAAGACTTGTATTGAGAAGCCTTAGGCTCCTAGTCTTTCCAGTAAGAACTGGAGTCCCTGAGAATTGAGAATCTGGAGGGATGATGTGAGTACAGTGTGCCTCTCAGCGCTGTCATTGTCCCCACTGCTTACACTATTTCTGTTGTTCACACGGAGAATCCTATGCAGAAAGTTGCAGCCTAACTTAGTACGGAAACAAACAGAACAACTTAGGGGCATATATTTTAAATAAATAAATAATGGGGTTCAGCCCAACACAGACAGCTGAACACAGTTAGTTGCAGGCACCCTAAGGATCAGATCAAACCCGAATTAGGCAAATGCCCACTGTCACCACTGCTCAAGCAGGAGACCTTCCAGCCGTAGCCAATCAGGCGACCTCTCCACTGTTACATGTGTTGGCCTGTGGAAGTTAACTGCTCATACTGCTGGGTGGGGCTTGAACCTCTTTTGGTTCTGAGGGCTTCCTGGCTTCATGAGTTCTTGGCCTACGAATAAACTCTGTTATGATTATGAGTAAAGAACAATGATACACAAGCATAAAAACATCATTATGAAACTCATTATTTTAACATCAATTGAATTGGAAGCTTTTGTTCATAGCAATTCACACGCCTATCTATCCATCATCTATTTTTTAATCTATCATCCATCTTATCTATCAATCACCACCTATTATATATTATCTATTGATCTATTTGTCTTAGGTATATATTTATCCTATTTATCCATTCTACCTATCTATCATCTACCAATCATATTTATTTATCATCCACTCATCTATGCTATCCTCTTAATTATATTTGTCTATCATTTATCTGTCTTTCATCATCTGTCTAATCTCTCATCTATCTTATCCATTTATCCACCTATCATCTATATTTTATTCCTTCTTAGAGACCACTCTCTAAAGCCATTTGAGATTAGAGAAGAGAAGGGCTTCCAAAAGCTCTACAGGAGTTGGCTCTTGCCTACCATTTCCTCTTCATCCTCTGTCAGTTCTTCCTTTGTTCTTTACATTCCAGCTCTGTTAGCATTCCGTACCTCCCTTCAACAAGCCACACCCGATTCCACCTCAGGGCCTTTGTATTTTTGCTCTTCTGCACAAGCAATCCTACCCTTCACCCATCCTTCCATCTATCTATCCATCCAGCTCTTGCTGGGCTGGCTTTAACACCTAGAATTTAGCTTCAGTGTCATCTCCCCGGAGAGCTCTTTCTGTCTTTGCTAGTGTTCAGTACCCCATTCATCATTCTCCCCCGCCCCCCCTCCCCCGTTCAAAAACAGGGTTTCTCTGTGTAACTTTGGAGCCTGTCCTGGAACTCACTCTGTAGACCAGTCTGGCATCTAACTCAGAGATCCGCCTGCCTCTACCTCCCTAGGGCTGGGATTAAAAGCGCGCGCCGCCGCCGCCCGGACTCCATACATCATTTTTAGCTCTCTTTGGAGTTCTGGTCATTTGTTTCCTGGTTTATTTGGTGAGCTCCGAGGAGGGAAGGGGAGCCTTGTCTGTCTGGCGCATTTCTTATAATTATTCCCTGCCTTTGCCCCTCTCTGTTGAGCATAAGGCTCACCGCCTGCCCAGCGGGTCTGTCTCAGGCCACACGGGGGAATTTCTCTTACCCCTAAAGCTTTGGGCTCTCCGGTCAAGAAGGTCTCTATTGGTCTTAGGTCAGGTGGCTGGGTGGCCCTGGGCGCTTGCGCCCCCAGTGGTGACTCTTCGAACTGCATGATCCCTGGAGGTTGGCACATGGAGGTGGGCAGGATGGCTGGAGGCGGGCGGAGGCCACTGGCGTTGCTGGGCGGGATGACGACAAATACACCATTGTTGGCAGGAGGTGTGGACATCGTGTTCAGAGAGCCTGGAGGATGAAGGCTCAGGAGATAAAAAGGCAGTAATGGTCATTGCACAATTGCTTACCGCACACCCTCCTGCTCTTGCTTACTGAGGCCCGGAGATAATAAAGCCCAAATCCCCAACTAGAGCTGGGAAGAAGAAGAGACTCACCGAAGGGAGTAGGCGCTTGGGGAAAGAATTTTTTATTTTTAATGCTGGACATGGAACCCAGCCTACAGGTGAGGCAAGCCCACTATTACTGAGCCATATCCCCAGCCAAGTGGAGCCTTTGAGGGGAGCCTACATGTATTCATCCTCCTTTCCCTGGAGAGGGTGAGTGACTGCTCAAGAATTCACAGCCCTGGGAAGGTGGAGCGTAGTTGAAGTACCATTTTACTCATGGAAAGAGAAGAACCAGACAGGACGTTAGCCCGCCCACCCTTCCTTCCTTCTTTCCTTCCTTCTTTCCTTCCTTCTTTCCTTCCTTCTTTCCTTCCTTCCTTCCTTCCTTCCTTCCTTCCTTCCTTCCTTCCTTCCTTCCTTCCTCCTTCCCTCCCTTTCCTCCCTCCCTCCCTTTCGTCCTTCCTTCCCTCCCTCCCTCCCTCCCTCCCTCCCTNTCCTTCCTTCCCTCCCTCCCTCCCTCCCTCCCTCCCTCCCTCCCTCCCTCCCTCCCTTCTTTCCTCTAGACCTCCATCTGTTGGCTGTGGGTACATAATTACTCCCGGGGCAACACATCCTGCTCCTCTTGACTGCTCAAGGAATAACCACTATTGTAGCCAAGATAAACCCGGGTTGTGGAAAGCTTAGGTGTGACTGGCCTGGGAAAGCGCACTAGGGAATGCGGACCCATTAGCTAGATGCCAGGCAGCAGCTTTCCAGGGTGCTGCAGTTACTAATCTAGTAGATGAGATGACATTAAAACAGTCAACCTCCTTGCCATTTCACACATGGTAAAGAATCCATCAGCCCAAGCTCTGTGACAGAAGGCAGGATTTGAACCTTGACCTATGTAGTTACATTACTATGAGACAATGGGCAATACGGTCAGCTCTTCCTGTCTCAGTTTCCTGACCAAAAGAGTAGGGGTAAGGGCACTAGACCCTGTCTCGTTACAGGTCTGGCAAAGGTCATGATTTACACGTGAATTGTTCCAGCATCTTCACTTGGAGTATGTTTTTATACCTTGTATCTTCAGTGCACAAATGTGTATTTACCCTTACTTTTAGGGCTTCAGTTTGTGTTCATGAGGCCTTGCAGCCTGTAGACTGTGCAGCTTGTGGGGGAATCAGGCTGCGCCATGCTCTGAGTTACTCCATAGTGTGTAAAAGAATGGCTTTGGGCTGTGCCCTGCCCTGTGTGACTCCGTTTGAGAGGCAGCATTCGGCTGCTCTGTGAGTTCAAACGAGGCAAGATGACTCCGTGTCTCACTGTGCTTGTCAATAACCACCTGCTGCCAGTGCCACCCACGAGGCACAAACAATTTTCTCCCAAGGAGGAAAAGTGCCACATGGGTCCCATAAAGAGAACACTAGCACCGCAGTGGTGATGGCCCCACTGGCCTGGCGTGTGTCTACCAATGTGTGTGTTGTGGGATCAACAGGTGGATTGTCTGGGGCTTCCACTCAGCCTGATCCCCACTGCTTGGTGCAGCCTCCTGAAACTGCTGCTAGTCTGTCTTTGTCAGAGACAGTCCTGTGCTTCTCCCCTGTGGTCCTGTGTCTCTGTAGCACCCCTCAACCCTGCAGCCCCGTGCCTTCAGCTCTCCAACCGGGGTCGTTAATATTGAATCCAACCAAATACAGAGACTTTTTGTTTCTCTATTATCTCGCTGCCTCTGGTAAGGCCTCTTTGTACTTTTTATAGTCATTCTGTAACCTGTAACACACACACACACACACACACACACACACACATTTTCTGAGCTATTCACAAGGCACCAGCTGGGCCCTGCTTCAGGCTATGGGATTAGCGGCTGGCTAAGGTATTAGCAGCTTGGGCTAACCATTTCTTGAGGGCACATTTGTCTCTGGAGGCATTTGATACATTGCTTCTCTCCTCCACAGTGACCTGATAGTTTCCACAGTTTATCACCTTGGTGTGATGACCGAAGCTTGCAGCAGAGAAGGGACATGCTTAAGGTGACTCTACAAGTGAGTCTGAGGGCAAGGATTCAAGTCCACGTCTGTGTCCCAGCCTGCACCTGCCCCTCACTGCTGCCTCCAGCTGCCGTCTCTGTCCTTTGCCCAGTTGTTCTAAGTTACTATATTCTGGGTGCCTTGAAGTTTGGTGTGGTCATGTGACTTGTTTTGGTTGAAGCCACATGACTGACAATAAAGTCACAACTTCTGAGCTAAGAAAATAGTGACTCGCCCAGGGCACTGTGGAGGGTTTTCCCCGTTGTCATAGTAACTAGTCATTGCAGACAGAGGCCACTTTATCTGCTTGGGTTCCCCAGTGAGTAACTTCTCCAGGGCTGTGAAACAGGAGGAAGAGACCACTCTCTGGTGTCTTATGACACAAGATGGGGATGGGGATAGTAAGCCATGAGGACCCAAGTTCCATGTCCACACATAAAAACGCTGGGCATGGTGGAGTTCTTAGACTCCCAGTGCTGGGGAGACAGAGCCATGCAGTTCCCTAGGATTTGATGGCGGGCCTGTCTGGCCAAATTGGCTAGCTGCAGGCCAGCGAGAGACCCTGTCTGAAAAAACTAGGTGGATGGTACCTGAGGTTGTCCTCTGGCCTTTACACGTATGTGTGCACACTTGTATACGTGCTTACACACATGTGCATTGCATATATATATACATACACATGCCACACACATGGGCACTGAGCTATGTGTCCCTGAAGCATAATTTAGCTTCACCTGACCATCGACCCTCCAGAAACAGATATTTAGAATACATATTATATAATATATATCCATTTATATATGAAAGCCATTATCATTAGAGAGAGCCATCCAACACCCTTCACTATTTACAGGAGATCAAATTAAAAACCAAAGGGGGCCGAGTGAACCTGCCACAGCCGCACTTTTAAAAATTATTTAGGACAGTTTAACACCTGAGTCAGAAAAGGCAGAATTTTGGCTAAAAGGACATACTTGCTTTCATAGCTGTCATTTCACCAGAGACAGGTGACGATCTGTCTGAGGGCCATGTGACTCAGTCATTTGTGCACTGGGGCTGTTTTCTAGGGTCAGAAGAACTCTGGGCTCCCACAGGGCTCAAGCCACCCAGCAGAAAGTACTTGCGTCATTAACAACATCTCTCTCAGGTGGGTGGTGAGAGCCCCGTGATCCCAGGAGAAGAGAAACACCTACAGAAATAGGCTTTGCACCCTCAGCAGGAATGCATGACCCAGGTTGAGATTCACACACTCCCCCCACCCCCACCAGCTCTTCCAAAGCCAGTGACTAGTCCACCTGTGGTATTCCAGCGGACTCCCTCTTAGGAACCATCAGCCAGCACAGCCCGCCACTCAGGTAAGCAGAGGAAGGAAAGCCACCACACCCTGCCTTAAGGGAACAGCTACCTGGAAACCCAGGACGTCCAGGACAACTGTGTGATGGTCAGCTGCTGGACGAGCTGTGGTAATAACATCTCTTCACGTAAAGCCCTTAACAGGTTATAAAGAGCTCCCCTATCTCCCTGGGGCAGTCCTGGGATGGAGACATTCTGCAGGCCATTCTGCAGAATCAAGTGGGATAGGTCACAGGCCTTGTAGTCAGTCCATCGGATACCAGACTCTGAAGTGAGTGACATCACCAAGGGTGTCAAGAGACTTGCAAAGGCAGGTGGCTGAGAAACTGTGGGCTGGCTTTTATACCCTCCTACCAGGGTTGCAAGCGGGGCTGAGAGGAGATTTGACATTGCTCAGGGAGAAGGGAACATGTTTTTGGTTGTCTTTTGCCATGGGAGAGAGGCTTCCTTGTAGGCTCTTTCCTCAGGGAGGGTGACAGCAACTCACAAAGCACCCAGCAGGCACATGGCTCCTGTCCTCTTTCTTCGTTTACCACTGCCCAGCCTTGGAGATGTCACTGTTAGTCAGCTACTGTGTGTACGGGGGCAGGGGCAAGAAAAGGTGCTCACCTGCTGCCCCGGGTCGGGCTATGACCGAACACAAGACCGTGCGGGCTAATTGCTAGTTACTAAATTGCTATTGTTTAGCCCGAGGGTGACTGGAGAAGCAGCAGGACTGCCTAAGCATCACTCTGCTGGTAACGCTGTGAATCTCTAAAAATTAACGTAAACAGTTTTACTTAGAAGCAGATACCTATGTACATCATAGAACATACACATTTGATTCACATCCTGCAAAGAAGTACCAATATCCAAATTCAAAAGAACTAACTCTCACAGAGCACACTCCTCCTTAGGCTTGACTGAAACCACAAAACCAAACTGAACCACGGACTCTCTGGAAGAGAATATGGCCACCTAGCAATGTCTGGCCCCGTGCTGGGCATGGAGGAGGCCTTCACTCCTCCTGGGCTTCGGCTGTTAACAGCCTCAGTGGCAGGAGACCTGTAGTGGTGGGCTGCTAGCTGGTGCACCCTTGGGGCAGCCGGCACTTGTCTCCGGAGTGTCTCTAGACAGCCTCTACTTCCACCCGGGTCCCAAAGCAGCTTTGCTTATTTCTGTGTTGAAGCTGCCTTTTGAGGAGGTGTTGGCAGCTGGAAGGGAGTGCCTGTAGGGGGTGGGGATTCTGGGATGAGATGTATGGGTCACACATCTGGGACTCGGCAGCCTACCTTAGTAGTTAAGTCACAGATCCTGCTCCCAGCCTGGTAAGAATGTATGTTACTGTCTGGGGAGATGAAGTTGAGAGAATTTGGGCAAATGGCCTGATTTCCCTGGGCCTCGGTTTCTCCACATATCACAGAAGTAGCTCTGTAGTAGTGGGGGTGAGGTGTTTAAGGCTTCTAAGACTTCCTATATATACATCCGGGGTTTGCAGCCATTTCTCAGACCAGGCAAGAACTCATATCTAGGTAAGTCTGGTCCTGTGGCACCAGACA